ATGAAGTTAGAGAGAGCGAAAGAGAGATAATAGCTGTGTTGCATGGCGTACGTGTACGCGGGTTGCGCGTACACGCGTACACGTATTCCTGTACGCGACACGTACGTGCGTACACGTACTCCCGTACGTAGGAATACATAAAAAGATAAAATAAAAAACATCATCGGAAAAATCTGAAACAAAACTATGTTATGGAAAATGATAGTTCAAACAACTTTTGCCTGAGACTCATGGCCAAATTTTATACATAACTCGAGTGAAAAATGAAAGACACAAAACACAAATAAATTGATTTTTTTTTAAAAAAATAGGAAAAAAACAGAAAAAATAAAAACAAACTTCTATAACAAATACATGTTATGCAGAAACATGATACAAACAACTTTTGCCAGCATAAGAAATATTTTAAAGTAATATTCTTCCCAATTTAACTCGAGTGAGAAATTAAAAACTAAAAAAAAAGTAATATTATCATAATAATAAAAAAAACTATTTTAAAGTTTTCTTTAAGGTTTTGTATTTTTAAATCAAGATTGGTTGGGAATTCGGGTATGAATCCCAGGTAAAGTTTGTTTGTATCATTATTCTGCACAACATACGTTTTTTTCAGAAGTCTTGGATTTTTTTTTTTATATTTTTTTTTTTTTTTTTTTTACGTACGCGTACGCGCGATTTCGGGTTCGTACGCGTACGTTGGAATACGTACGCGTACGCAGTGCACCGTGCAACACAGGATAATAGCACTCTCTCTCCCTCTCTCTCTCTCTCTCACACACACACACACACACACACACACACACACACACACATACACACACACACACACGGTAGGGGTATATTGATATTTTTGTGTTGGTACTCAAACGACTATTTGGTAGGGGCATACTGCAAATTTGGAACGGACACGGTAGGGGCATATAAATATGTTTGTATTGGTATTCAAACGGCTATTTGGTGGGGGCATACTGCAAATTTGGAACGGGTACCGGTAGGGGCGTAACGAAAATATTTTAGGCCCAACTGACGCTAGAGTTTTATGGAAAATTTGAATCATGGTGAGAGGGGCGCGACAGGGTAAATCGGTCGTAGAAGGGGCGTGATGCAAAATACTATAAATTATAGGGGTGCTAGACAAACTTTCCCTTGTTTTTTTTTATTTATTTTTTTGCTTGTCTTTGTTGTTTGTGTTTTCATAAATTAAGAGTGTCGTGCTACCAGTAGTTGAAGGCTCGGCCAGACTCGACATAGAAGTAGTGGGAGACTCAGACTTAATAGTTGGGCCAAACAATTGTGATTTAACTTCCAATCTGGCAATGATTTTTTTTTACTTTCTCCGGTGCTTGCTCAACTTCCCATTGTGCGTTAAGTTTCCTCAAACAGGGCTCCTGCAAAGTAACCACCTTTAATGTGTGGCGATGAACTAAACCTTTATGGTCGACGGATGCGTCCGAAAATGACTTCGTCTTTCCGTGTGTAGTGCTATGATGGCTACACACCTACACTTGTTGCCAGGTTGGAGAACTTCAATCTTTCATGCCTTTGTTTTGGCCCACTGATCGATGCAAAACGCTCATGTCCTTCTCCATTGTCTACATCTTCTTTTGCATACCCAAGGTGTGGTCAAAATTTGTTTTCATCTCCTTTTGATTTCTCCACAATCTGCTGATGAAGTTATCATTCTTCACATTCAGTCCCACCACAGTTGTTGAAGTACTTACTTGAAACTCTTTTCCTTTCAACGCATAGATTTCCTTCTTCAGTGCATCAAACCTTCAATTTTCTTTCTTGCCATTCTTCTTTCTCAACAAAGCTTCACATACCACGTTCAATTTAGTGTTCATGTGGCATTGCCTATCTGAGCCTGAAACCGTTCCCTTTCTTCCTTCTCTCATACCTTTTCTCCTCCTCTTCTTGTTCCCTCTTCATATGTTTTTATTCCTCCTCCTTAGATTTGTCCTTCTCAACTTCTACATCATAGCGAACTTTCATCTCTTCCATGGTTTGCTTCAAAACATTAACTTGTTGCTTCGTCTCATACCATCTGTCTCCTTCATACTGACCTATAACATAACAACCAACATGAGAAGACGAAGTAGGGGGTAAAAAGTAAGTAAAGGTGCTTCAGTAGGTACGATAGCATCATGGTTAGCTTCTAAAGGTCGGCGATGTGACCACTACTTAGAAAAATGACCAGGATCTCCCCAATTTAAACACGTACAAAAAATTGTAAAGGTAGGAACAAGGAGGTTGGACGACATTGGAATAATTCAATGATTGTTCAATCAATCTAAACAGTCAAAGGCATACAAATCGTAGTATAATCCCTAAGCTGGTTACTCGGAGAGTCTAAGTATTTGTTGATGATAAAAACAATACCAATCAAAATCGTCAGTTGTCAATCTATGCATTGAAAAGCCACTCATAAGGTAGAAAGCCCAAGAAGTAGGAGGGAGAAACAAGAAGATGATAAAAAAGTAGAACGAGTAGTGACACTCCCCACCAAGAGATGGAGTAGCCCGATAGCCAAGGCTTCAACCCTAGCAGTTTTGTCACCACCATGGGAATGGAAGCCTTGCACAAAAGGGTTTAAACCACTAGTACCTTTGTCAGTTCGGAAAATAGTGGGCCTCCGACCTTTCAGGTGGTTGAAACGAAACGATGGTCACCAATCAGATTCATCAACGACAATCGTTGTCGGACCCGACCTCCTAAAAGTTCGAGAATAGACTAAAACTTGCCGAAACGAAACGAGAAAGGTACTAGTGGTTAAAAAAAAAAAAAAAAAAACGCCAGCTATCCACAGTCAGGATGAATGCATCTATGCCGGTTGTCATTTGTCGTTTTGTAGAGTGGAATTTTTCGGGAAATGTCGTGCGGTACAGCGGACAGGAAATGGTGTGTTTTGGGGGTTGGGTAAGGGTGTGGTCGGTGTCGGGAGTAAGACCGGTAGGGGGAGCGGTCGTAGTATAGCTTGGAGCGCAGGCGATTGGTGGTTGGGTGTTGAGGTCATTGTTTGGTGTCCCTGGACGACGACTGGGCGCTTCCGTTTCAGGGGAGTTTTTTTTTTGGGCCTTTTATGGGTTTCTTTTTTGTTATTTGGTGGTTGGGGTGATGTTGGGGTATATGGGTGGTGGGTGGGCGCACATTTGGGGTGGGTCGTTCTTCGTGCAGGGTACTCAGATGAATCCTGTTACAATGTTTAGGTGCGTTGTGGGCACGCCGTCTCGTCCTGTGGGGGCGATGTGTGGGGTCTCCCTTTTTTTTATTTTTATATTGGGGCTGGGGGAATGTGCGAATTCGGATGGGTAGGTGGTTTTTGGTGTCGGGCCCGTACGTGTTCGTTGATGTATCTGGCTGTGGACGTGCATAAGGGACGACAAATACGGGTGCGTATCTGCCTGTTTTTGACGGGAAGAACCATTATGGTGTCATTGGGACGACTACTGTCAAATACGGTTGTGCAGACGTTGGGTGCGGGAAGGTGAGGGGACGGTTGAGTTGACTGAGTTGAAGTGACAAGTGGTTTTAGGTGTCGGGCCCGTACGTTTTCGTTGATCTATCTGGCTGTGGACGTCCATGAGGGATGATCGATACGGGCACGTAGCTGCCTGTTTTTTATGGGAAGAACCATTCTGGCGTCATCGGGACGACGACTGTCGGATACGGCTTTGTAGACATTGGGTATGGGAAGGTGAGGGGACGTTGGCGGTGTCAGGGCATACTCTCACAAGGACTTCTTTAGTTATTTATGGACGGCGCCCAGATGCCTCTAGGTGGGGCCGTAATTGCAGTTGGATGCACTTTGAAAAGAGGTGGTGCGAGTATGCCCTCAGGGGTGGCACGTCTTCCTTGATGTATCTGGCGGTAGACATTGCGGAAGGGGTGGCGGCTACGGGCCTGCATTTTGTTTCTTACGGTGTTCTTCGGTCGAAGACTGTGCGGATTTTTCCTTTTTTTTTGGTCTCAGTTTTTTTGGAGTATACGCACTGCGACTGTGGACCTGGCCTGCTTGCCAAACCTGCGAAATTGTCCCGGCTGCGTCCCCGTAGTGCGGTCCTCAGTGGTGAAAAATCCCAAAGGCCATTTGAAAAACATGATCAATATGAACAGTGGCAGTGTGGGCCCAACTAGTTTGGCCCAACGAGTTTCCGCTGGTCTGCCAACAGGCCCTCCTCAGGGGTCTTGATCATCATCACAGGTGACCAACAAGAGTTTCGAATTCCCGCTTCCTTGGGGCCCCTTTTTGGGTCTCAAGTTACACTTTAGGGCCGGTCCTACGGTTTTCGAAGTACCTGTGGGTCCTCCGTAAATATACGCAATATATGAAGGACCAGTCACCGGGGACTAGGTCCCACTTGCACGAATTAAGAGATACTGACCGTAGATAGCAAAGATCAACGGCCGACATCTCCTAATTTGCGCAAGTGGGACCTGTCACCGGACAACTTCTACCCCGTTTTCGAGTGGTGGCCCTATTTGTTTGGATGTTTGTGCCACCTTGACACAGACGCGGTACCGTTCTTGAGTCGAGCAGTTGATGATTCATTGATCCATTGATGCAGAGAGGCGCTCCGGCCTGGAGCACGTGAGGGACTTGGCGGGAAAGTCATCAGGCCGTTGCTCCATTCAAACTTCGCATCGAGCAAAGCTGTGCGTGCCCCTACTCCGGTACTTGTTCCGAGGGTGGAGAGTCTGTAGACAAGGATAGGCCGGGGCTAGGTTCCACTTTCACGAATTATGAGATAGAGACCGTAGATAGACGAGATCAACGGCGGAAATCTCCTAATCTGTGCAAATGAGGAGATTTCGGCCGTTGATCTTTGCTATCTACGGTCCGTATCTCTTAATTTGTGCCTAGCCCCCGGAGAGAACGATAGGCGACGAGAGAACTTGTGCTCACTGACAACCGCTTTCGATGGTCGAGCGAGAGAGTCAGTCATCATCTGATGATTAGGCGTGGGACTCGTGAAGATAGCGCTTACATGCACACGGCAGGGCAACGGCAGGGCGGGAGGAGAAAGTTGCTGGGTATGAAAGAGAGAGGGGCGCACACACTCAAGCGCTCGGCCGCGCGTCCGCACACGCGCCCACCCGTCCCCCCACACCCCCGCACGCCCGCACGCACAGAACAGAAATATAAGAAGGAGAGGAAAGAGCGGTCACACACCGCGCCCGCGCCCGCGCGCGCAGGAGAGAGAGAGAGAGAGAGAGAGAGAGAGAGAGAGAGAGAGAGAGAGAGAGAGAGAGAGAGAGAGAGAGAGAGAGAGCCGGGCTGGCTTGCTGGTTTGAAGCCTGTGGGGGCTAGATGGCGGGATGGGATGAGGGGAATGTATTTTACAGCGAGCAGTTCGGTGTGGAGGAGGATCCTGATCAGACGGGCCTGTCGAGAGATTCTTTGAAGCGTAAACTGAAAGAGTTTATTCGGAGTTTTAATATCAATCATGGCACTTTTATCTACAGGGACAAACTGCAGGTTAATCCAGCGTTCCTGGAAGTTTCGTTGGAAGATCTTACGGCCTATGACGACTTCGTTGCCGCTAAGATGATGAGCAATCCAACGGATGTCCTGCCATTGTTTGAGGCGGCGGCGGCAGAGGTGTTGGCGGGCTTGCAGTCAAAGGTGCCGGGAGAGAGGGGAGATCTGGAGGAACCCACGAGGGGGGAGGTCCCCCAACTCATGCTCTCGAGCAAGGGAATGCACGCCAAGCTGAGAGATCTGTCCGCTGCGCATATCTCAAAGCTTGTGAAGGTTCCAGGTATTGTCATTGCCGCATCAAGGACGAAAGCCAAGGCCACAGCCGTGACGCTGATCTGCAAGAACTGTCGGAACACGAAAGTAATCCCGTGTAAGCCGGGGTTAGCGGGGGTCTTGCTCCCGAGGAGTTGTGATCGAATCGCTGACCCGCTGACTACGGACGCCAAGTGTCCTCTAGACCCATGGGTGGTGGTCCCAGAGAAGAGCAAGTACGTGGACCAGCAGACGCTGAAGCTGCAGGAGAACCCTGAGGCGGTGCCGATAGGCGAGCTCCCGAGGAACCTCCTCTTGTCCGTCGATCGGAACCTGGTCCAAAAGATTGTGCCTGGAACACGCGTCTCTGTGATCGGTATATACAGCATCTTCCAGTCCGGGAACAACTCGAAGAAGGACAGCAAGACCGCCGTCGCAATCAGGCAACCCTATCTAAGGGTGGTGGGTATAGAGCAAGACGAGCAAAGCTGCGCGCGAGGGTTTTCCAACTTCACGGTGGACGAAGAGCTGGAGTTTAAGGAGTTCTCTCGACGACCTAATGCGTACGAGGAGCTGTGTAAGAGGGTAGCGCCGTCAATCTTCGGCCACGAGGATGTCAAGAAAGCCGTCGCCTGCCAGTTGTTCGGCGGCTCAAGGAAGCTGCTCCCAGATGGGGTGAGATTAAGGGGTGACATCAACGTCTTGCTCCTCGGCGATCCCTCGACGGCTAAGTCCCAGTTCTTGAAGTTTGTGGAGAAGACCGCTCCCGTGGCGGTCTACACGTCGGGGAAAGGCTCCTCGGCTGCTGGATTGACTGCCTCGGTAATTAAGGACTACGGATCGGGGGAGTTTTACTTGGAGGTGGGAGCCATGGTGTTGGCAGACGGAGGGGTGGTGTGCATCGACGAGTTCGACAAGATGAGGCCAGAAGATCGGGTGGCAATCCACGAAGCCATGGAGCAGCAGACGATCTCCATCGCTAAAGCGGGAATCACGACGGTCTTGAACTCGCGCACTTCCGTGCTAGCCGCCGCTAATCCGCCGTCGGGACGGTACGACGACCTCAAGACAGCCCAGGAGAACATCGACTTGCAAACCACGATCTTGTCGAGATTCGATCTCATCTTCATCGTGAAGGACGCGCGGGATCACGCTCGGGACATGCTGATCGCGCGCCACGTGGTCAATCTGCATGCGACCGCGGACATGGCCGCCGACATGCCGACGGCGCAGCGAGACCTGCACTGGCTGAAAAGATACGTCGAGTACTGCCGCACTCGATGTTTCCCGCGCTTGTCGGAGGAGGCGGCGACGGTTTTGCAAAACAATTACGTGAAAATCCGTCAGCAAATGCGACAAAGAAGTAATGACAGCGGCGAGGCCGCTGCCATTCCCATCACCGTCCGCCAATTGGAAGCCATTGTGCGGCTCAGCGAAGCGCTGGCGCGGATGCAGTTGCTTCCTGTGGCCACCGTGGAGCATGCGGAGGAGGCGCTAAGGCTTTTCCGCGTGTCTACCATCGACGCCGCCTCCTCGGGAATCGCCGACAACATCATCGTTACCCCTGAACAGAGGGCAGAGATTCAGCAGATCGAGTCGCAGATCAAGCGGCGGCTAGGGATCGGTAGCTTCATGTCGGAGAGGAGAATGATCGACGATCTTACGAGGATGGGCATGAGCGAATCGTCGGTCAGGAGGGCCATCTTGGTGATGGCGCAGCGGGACGAGCTGGAGTACCGCAGAGAGCACCGGGTTATCTTCAGAAAAGCCTGATGATGTATCGGTCGGTCGGTCGGGATCGGGATCGCACGGATCTCGTTCGGTCGGGATCGGGATCACACGGCAGCCGCCGGTTCGATCCGGGTATCTGGGTGGTGGTGGTGGTGGTGGCGGTGGCACGCTAACCGGCTGATGCTAGAGAGGAGGTTGATTTGATGACCTTGTGGGGATGGGCATGAGTGAGCGGCGTCGGTCATGAAAGCCATCATTCTTGGTGATTGACGGGCACGTCGGGACGAGGTGGAGGAGTTTTACCGCTCTCAGAGAGCAGCGGGTTATCTTCAGGAAAGCCTGATGTATCGGTTGGTCGGGATCGGGATAACACGGCAGCCGCCGGATCGATCCGTATATGGGTGCTCGTCGCACACCAACCGGCTGATCATCGGGATCGGAATCGGGATCGGGATCACGCATCAACCGCCTGATCGGTAGCTAGGTCACACATCAATCGCGCCCTTTTTTTTTTTTTTTTTTTTCCCCGGCTTCCTTCCTTCCTGTATTTATAAAGCGTTTATCCGTTTCCTTCTCCCCCCCGCACACCCCCCTCACCCTCCCCTTTCTCCTCCCTCTTTCTCTCTCTTTGTTTTGCAAGCTTGCAGCAGCAATAAGAAGGGGGCGGATGTTTCTTTTTTTTTTTTTTTTTGCTTTTTACGTATTTTATCCGTTTAGAAGCGTTAACAACGGGGGGAATTTTCATTTCATTCACTGCGTCTCGTCCGTGCGTGTGTGTGTTTTGTCATTTTCGTCTTACGCGACCCCCCCCCCCCCCCCCCCCACAAGAAAAAGACAAAAACGAAATGGCCAACTTGCTTCCGAGCACGCTTTCATGCATCGAACAAGGTGAACTTTCACCGATTTGTTATGCCATTTATAATACCCCCCCCCCCCAAAAAAAAAACGTTTTGTAACCAAATTTGCCACCGAACCTTCAGCGAGAGATCCGTTACGCAAGAGCTGAAAGTAGGGGGTCCCCGTTAATCACCGCCGTTTTCCCCCGAATAGAACGCCTGGTCACTATAGCTCTATTTGGTGCCATTTTCAATCTAGATTCGGCGATAATGACCGGGCGTTCTGTTCGGGGGAAGACGGTAGTGGGAGCATCGTTGTTACCCTCCTCTGTATCCATTAGTCTTAGACGTCGAACCATTTTCAGTTTTTCATTTCTTTTTCCTTTTCCTTCTTTTTTTTTTTTTCAACCCGTTTTTCTTTAATCTGTACAACATTTTTTTTTTTTTTAAGTTTTTTTTTCCCAATTTTCCCACTTTGACATCTGAAACACTACACTGAGTCTGTACCTTCTTCTTCTTTTCTTTTTTTCTTTTTTTGTTTCTTTTTTTTTTCTTACAACAGACTCAGCTCTTTATATTACGAAAGGAAATGGGATCTTTTTTTTTTTGTTTTTTTTTGACTCAGTTCTTTATATTACGAAAGGAAATGGGAGGCCGGGATTTAGTCCTCAACCCGGCAAGTAACATGCTGCTAAAAAAAAAAAAGAAAAAAAGGAAAAAAAAAAAAGGGAAAAAAAAAAAAGAAAGTAACATGTTGGGATCATTACCCAGTTTCCGTTCAGGCGTTGGGAATTTAGTCCAAGTGCAGAGAATGGCCAAATCTGGGCCGCTGCCTAGACGTACCTCAACCCTGGTATAGTAAAAAACGTGTGCCTCATGGGCTTAAAAAAGCCTAACAAACCAAATTTTTTTTCTAATATGGAATACAAAATAAACCAAAGTGGAACAAATAAGGAAAAAAAACAAACAACAAAAATAAGAAAAGAAGCACATCCAGAAAAGAAGGCAACCCACTCTCTCAGGCCAGAAAAGCCCACAACAGTCCAAAGATAAAAAAAGCCCCACCTAACCCCTACTCATTTTACTCCGCCAATCTGCAGCCTACCTTCTTCCCCCGAATACAACCCACGGTCATTATATATCTGTGTATTCAGACCGAAAGTTACCCCAAATTCAGTCATATAATGACCGCATGTTGTATTCGGGGGAAGAGACTGTTGTCAAAATCCTACATCGGAAAATTTCTCAATTTACTATTTAGTCTATTCCTTTTTTTTTTTTTTTTTTTTTGAATTCGAAATTTAGTGTATTCCTTCCTTAAACATTCTCCATTCTATGTTTCCTAATTTGGGAAGCTCGAACCTGAGCAACTCTACTTATTGTGAGACTGCTTGTCACGTGCAAACCCCTACAGCGGACCCGGGGTCCAGCAAGGATCCCCCTGTACCTTCGTCTCTGTGTTAGAAGTGCAAAAAAAAAAGAAAAAAGAAAAAGTGCAGAGAATTAAAAAAAAAGGAGTGCAAAGAATTCTGCGGATCAGGGTTTTAGTTTTGAGTTTAGGGTTTCGACCTCCAGCTGGATTTTTTTTGGGGTGATCACAACTGTCTATATTCTTTTCTCAACTTCTGTTTTGTTCACCTTCAACTACCTACTCCTAAGACTATCTAGAGGGGAGCCCTGCAAGCATAGTTTTTCCTCTCTCTGTGAAGGGGAGATTTCATGTTGCCCCTTGCCCCTAATGGTTAGGGTATAGGGTTGGGGCCGCCAGTGGGGGTCTGGCTTAGCACAAAGACCGAGACCTGCCAGTAGCTGTGCCTCCCTTTCTCATCGTCCCCCACCCTTCATCGAGTAGCAGCAGGGGCTATGGCCAACACTCTCCCACACACCACACACAACCCACTCGCGCTCACACTCACACCCGTGTTGAAAAGTCCAAAACTAAAACAAAAATCCGGCTGGACCCCGCTAATACCGGCTGGACCCCGGTATTAGCGGGGTCCAGCCGGATTTTTGTTTTAGTTTTAAACTTCTTTTTTTCAATTTGAACTTTTTTTTTTCACTTTGCACTGTTTTTCTAATACTCGTTTCTTTGTGCGAAGGCTTCTTCCCCCTGTAAGATACAAAAAGCATGGCATTATTAAAAGGAAAGCATGGCATTACTGTCAGAAATTTCAGAATTTTTTTTTCTTCTTCCGGTTGGTTTCAGAAATTTCAGTTATTTAAACTTTTTTTAGCATTTACTGTCAGAAAGTCTTTCTTTTTTCTTCCGGTTGGTTGTTTTTTGGGTCAGTATTTTATTAATTTTTAATCGTTTTTTACTGTAAAATTTTATTCGTTGTAATAACCGGCGTCGAAATGGCTGGCTCATTGATCGATGATATCCATAGCTCTGTACTGTCCCCCCCCCCCCCCCCCCCCCCCCCCCCCCCCCCCCCCCACCCCCCCACACACACACACGATAGGAGGCCCCCCATTTACCGGATCGTTTATCCTTTTCTCTCTTTTTTTTTTTTTTTTTCGTTGACCAGTGTGTTCTTTTATTTCTCTTTCTTTTTTTGATTTCTTTTGGTTCTTTTTTCTTCTTAATTTCCCTCTACTGGGCTGAAAGGTGCAAAAAAAAAAAGAAGCTGCAAATGAGCTCCTCCCCTATGAGGACTATAGAGCTGCGGATAGGAGGAGGTCCCCCCAATGTTTTTTCTCTACGGGGCGGACCTCCTCCTATCCGCAGCTCTCTCTTTTTTTTTTTTTTTTTTTTTTTTTTTTTTTT